GAGAGAGAGAGAGAGAGAGAGAGAGAGAGAGAGAGAGAGAGAGAGAGAGAGAGAGAGAGAGAGAGAGAGTTCCGGTGAGGCTGTTAGTGGGGAAATGTGGGAAGGGGAACGTGGAAGTTGTGGGGAGTGCGCTAGTCGTTGCTGAGTGAAGGCAGGTGTCACTGAGTGATGCTCGGATTTGGCATTGACAGTGGGGGGAGAGAGGGGCATAGATTCCTCGTTTCGTCTGATCCTGCGGGGCCATGTCCGGAGGTGCTTCTATTCCTAAGTTTTTTGCCGATCTGCCTGCCAGCCTGTCTGCCTGCCTGTCTGCCTGCCTGTCTCGACTCTCTAGTACTTGCACTCGTCATCAGAAAGTCTGTGAGCAGTTTAGACGTGAGCCAAGTACTGTCGGTGGACTGGTTGGCACTCATTATGCCTCTTTTGCTGTAATATGCCAGGTCCCCTTTTGCCTGGAGACTATCAATCATGTGACAGAAGTGCATTGTTTTGCGGATGATGGGGACCTGCTGCTATCTGGTGCAGGAATCTGTGCATGGTTGAAATGGGAGAGAGCACCTACCTGGATCCAGAGGGATCTTTGGATTGTATACCTTACTTTGAGTGCTCTCTCCTTGGAGAAGATGAATGGCTATGGCTGCATAACAACAACTGAGAGTGGCGGTTGCCCGCAACGCGAGCTAGAGCGGTAGCGAGGGTCTGAGCCTGAGGGGTCACACAATGTCAAGTAGGGGTGCCAAACTTGTTAAGGAGATTGAGAATCGCTCAAGGTCATTGAAGCCTATTGCATGCGCATAACTGTTTGCTGTTTGTTGCATTGAGCATTTTATCGTGATATCGGTGAAGAAAGGCGGCGTTCCGAAGCAGACGGAAAAGTTTGTTGGGTCAGGCTATGTCTCAAGGAGATTGCAGAGAGGTAGAGAAACAACCGATAATTTGGGAGCACACTGGTCCAGCAATTATATCAGGTTGCAGTATCAGTGAATCCACATTGTTCCCCCCCCCCCCCCCCCCCCCCCCCCCCCCCCCCCCCCCCCCCCCAAAAAAAAGGATCCACATCCCCGCACTATTAAAACCGCTAATGTAACAAACATTGAAAATGATTGAATCAGCGCCATCCACAGTCCGACCGGGCCACAGCCCAGATCGTCGCAGGACTGTAAAGAATGTTGAATCCAGGCCATTGCGTCCTACTGGGCCGATGGCCTGGATCATCACAAGATGTCAAACTGCGTGGCAATCCAGGACGGCGGCACTGTACTACTGGGCCAATTTTGCCCTGATGGACCTAGAATAGGTGTACCGGTACCGATAGGTCCTGCAGTGATGTGCGCGTGTGCTCGCGGTGGTGCATGCTTGTACGGGTGTGTTTGTCTGCGCCTGTGCGTGCGGGTGTGTGTGCGTGCGGGTGTGTGTGCGTGTGCGTGGGTGTGGGGGGGGTGGAGGGCGAGCTGGAGGTGGTGCTGTGCTTGCTTCTCCCCCCCCCCCCCCCCACACACACACACACATGCGCGCACAGAACCTCCTGCCTGATGACTCTCCTGATGTGTCGGTGAAAGTTCAGTGGAACATTTTGGCGCAGTCACACCTTTTGTGTGGAGTTGTGTGTAGTGAATGTAAGAACACATACATCCGGAAAGGGCCACAGGGAAACATGATGGGCAGTGTGCTCTGCTCTAGATTGATGCTGGAAGCCGCCAAAAGTTGAACCTTCTTTTTTTCGTCGAAGGAGCTGTGAACAGCTCCACGCAAAAAAGAGATAAGCCGTGGTCTGATCCTTTCTCCTCCTCCTCTTCCCTCTCTCGCCCTGGACTCTCCATCCTGTCGCAATATCTGTCTGCACCTGCTTCACCCATCTCTCCTCCGTATGGTGACCTAAGCTCAGGGTTGTGGTGAGAATAGGAAGGCAGGTAACTACCTAGGTCTTCTATCGGCGGGTGAGCTGAGGAGGAGAAGGGGCAGGAAGAAGCGGGGTGGAAAAAGGCATGGGGGGCTATGGTGTCTTCATTCGGCGCCCTTGATTAATTCGGTTTTTCCCTGTCTATTTCTCTTCACCATATTCCTTCCTTCCTATTTTAGTATTTCCCCCTTCAATGTCTCCATCATGCATGTGTTCATCTGTTGTCCTCCTTCCTGTCATCCTTCTTTGTTCGTCGTCCTCCGCATCAGCCACTGCATATGCCCAGTTCCGTGTGGAAGCCGTGGAGGTCAAACGCGTGGACGAAGAGGAGGGGGAGGAGAGGAGAGTATGTACTGTATTTGTATTGTATATAGAGTCTTTATAGAATTGAATATGATGTTACGGGTCTCACTTCACTCCCAAAGTCAATCCTTTCCGGGAAAGGTCATGTATATATGTATTCCGTAATCTGGCGAAATTAATTAGTTATAAAAATGACAATGATGATGACGAAGTGGGGGTTTGGACGATGAGGATGCTGATGTGATCTAGTTGGAGGGGAAAAAGGGGGGGAGGGGAGGCTATGGTGATCCTTTTTCTCTATGGTATCATTCTCCACTTCAGCCTGGGATGCCAATATCGCTCAGCCTCCGCGATAGTGCGGCGGGAAAGGCAATCATCGTACTTGCACAGGGGTCGCCGCCATAATATTGTTTGTGATCTTTGATTCTTTGTTTGATCTGCTTTTTTTTCTCTCGGAAAGATCAGCACCAAACGTAAGTGACTGGTTTTTGCAGTTCTTTTGCACAAAATTATAAATGTGAAATATCATCAAAGTCCACGCGTCGCCGCGTACAATTTTTTGCACGCCAACGCTGACCGCCCCTGGCCGGTGGGCCGAAGGCCCCCTAGCCCACGCTTGCGAGACAAGTGGTTAAGTTTAAAACCACCACTTCTTTACAGTTCGCAGGACTCCAGGAAGCCACACACTTTCCTTGGTAGGCCATAGGATCCAATGGGTCACGTATGCACTGCACGCACGCAGTGCATAGTAGCCGCCCTTGCTACCCCCTGCAAGCGCATACAACACATGTTTTCAGCCGAAAATGGTTGTTTTTTTTTTGTTTGATGCGGGTTGAGGGGGGAGTGCACACAGTGAGAGTGATTTCCCGAATCAAATAGGGTGGAAACTGCCCTGATCAGCCCTCCCAACGCCTCTGCAGCACCCCCCAGCACCTCCGACCACCCCACAGCACCCTCCAGCATGTATGTCGTGCTCAGATCAATCAACTCTCTCTCTCTCTCTCTCTCTCTCTCTCTCTCTCTCTCTCTC